CATATAAATTTATAAATCAAAAAGCATCGCGATATAGTAGTTGTGTGAATGTGAATAGAAAAACATCGAGTACAACTTATGCAGCGACAAAAAGAGAGACACCAGCAAAGATTACCAACAATTTATGATCCTCTTACGAGCATGAGATTTACTGTCTACGGTTGAAAATTGGTAGAACGTTCTGGTACACAAAAAATATAATACACCGATCTACCCTGCCAGAAAAAAAAACTGATAAGAATAATCGAAAAAATATAAAAGCAAGGGCAAATGGTATGCATAGACAACTCAAAAAAAATCAATGGATTAATTATCAACCCACCAGTTGCAAAAGAATATTTGAAGTAACCTTAGAACCATCAAAAGTAACCTAAGCAAAGTAAGAGTAACCGGATTAAAAATTAGACAAAAATCACAAATCAGCTTCTGCACTGATATTTGTTCTTTATATTATTTTGTTAGAAGCAAAGTTCTGCTTTCCAAACACAGATTTCTCTCAGTTTTGCCACTTATGAATTTGTACAGTCGGATTTAATTGTGATTCCCCCCATAAAAATAAAAGTAGGGTGATGAAGCTAAATAGCGCACACGTGTGCTAAAACAATAAAACGTGATTAATACAAACATCCTCGCCCATTAGTGATTGAGTGAAAAAACTTTACAGCCACAAACAAATCACAAACATGCAATGTTGAAACGGAGCAAGAGAGAGAGAGAAAAAGAATTGGCAAGTGTAGTGTAATAATGAGTTTCAAAAAAAATTATGACAAAAGTTAAAGTAGCAAAGCTAATAAAAGCTAATGGGGCCGAAAAGATCAGTAAAGAAGACAATTCGACCAAGTACGGCTTGATTTAGAAGCTTACTTGAGATATCTATCAACAAATATTAATAAATCTGCAAAAAGCTGAATATTTTAAAGTCAGAAGGCAATGTTAAAGGATTTCTTCGGCTATAGAAACTGACTTGTAGTTTTGCTATTGAAAAAAAATTATATTGGAGCATTCTATTTGTATTATTTGCTTAAAACTCCGCGAGTTCCTCACAAATCATCACATGTTACTGCTTCCAAATAAAATGTAACTGGGTAGAAAAATGTACCGCATCTGAAAGAGGCAGTCTTTGCAAAGTTATTTTCATGTTCTTTAGTGATTAGATGTGCTAAGTTGTTCCTGTGATAATTTAATTAGATGTATATACATATGTACTTTTTAAATTGTCCACAAAAACTGGTTTGGATGCAGATGAAAAATTTTTGAGAACAGGAAAATATGCAATAGTTTCGAAATATTTCTAAGAGTTTGTTTTTGTTTTGAGTATCATTTTTTGAAAGATGGAAGTCACGGGAGAGGGTAAAAAAAAGAAGTAAGAGCGGGGTGACCGTATACACCTGACAGTTAGGTTACCCATGGAATCAAAAATTCCTCAAACTTAACATATGATATGAGAAGTCTCAAAAAAAAAAACAATCTAGAGAGACCTGAAATTTTCCAATGAAGGAGCACAA